CAATTCTAAGAAAAATCTCAGGTGAAATGAAAATACTTTAGTATCGCAAGCTTTATGCTTAATGCAATTAATTCTCATTTATTGTCTCTTCATGTGTAAATTATCTATGTGAGCATAAATATTGAGCAAAAAAGCAGAAGTAAGAATCTTTTGTGACCTAGTCCTGAAAATGTAAGGAAGATTGCTCAACCTTCCAAGAGTAGACAGATAGATCGATTTCCAAGACAATCCTAGTGAGCTTGAAACTGCAGTCCGCTTCTGATGAGAAGGCGTTTTTAGATTAAGATGGAATAAAAAAGTAATGGGATATTCAGGCTTTTTAATTGAGCAAGTGTAAGAAGAATAACTATCATTGCATATGAACTATGGTTTTTAATTTTTATTTGAAAGAAGTAGTGAAGAATGATAAGCATCCATTCTGAAAGTAGATTATGGCTCTACAATACGAAATACAATGAGTGCATTTAAACAACATAGATAAAACAGTCTAAGTGGAAACCAAAGCACAATTGGATACAGATAGCCCAATAAGTACTAGCACATGCCGAAAAATTGATCAAGAATTGTGATTGTATAGGCTGGGTAAATATAAAAGTAGATCAGAGCCTAGTATATAGCCGACATACCATGACTACACAGCTGCCGTTGACACCTGTGGGATGGATATTTGTTGCAGACATGTGTGCAGTTAGCATTAACACAGCAGTCAAAACATCGGGCCAACCGCGGTGACCGGCCGTTGTCCCCAGGACCAGCAGTTGGCTTGCACCCCTCTGAGATGTATCGCAGATCCTCAGCGCACGAGAGTAGACAATCCTTGCACGTCTGCTTAAGATCCCGACAACTGATGCAAGATGGAATAATGCAAGCGAAAAGTCTCATTACATAACCACAAATCAAACATGTGAAAATACCTAAGTGGTCGAGAATTATTTCGTATTTTGCGTAGAGAATACAAGTATGATGTGAATTGAAAAGAGTCCTTACACAATCTGTTTAACAATGATGCCAGTATCGTGCGACCCAATTATACACCAAACCTAGACATAGGAAAAGAGCCGATCCACGCTGGTTTGAAGAACCAAAATCAGCTATTATGGACCGAAATACACAGTAACTGGGCTCTAGCCGACCGCCATTGCGATATAATATTGGCTTTCACTCTTTTGTATAAGCTGATCCAAAAAGCGATCAAAGAAACTGACAAGTCATCCAAGGTTTATCACAAAGTTGCATCATATTCGTGGCTGTCAAGGCTAATATATAAGGCTTAAGGAGACCGCGACCAAACAAAAAGCTACACCATCTCGGTCTTCATATCTACGATCTAGTCTAGGGAGCCTGATAAAATGTATACCACACCTTTTTATTGGATAAAACACAAACAAAAGGATATCTTATAATGTATGTATTAGATATCCTTATGCATGAATAACAATGCAAGAACTAGTTGCTGTCTTAAATTTCAGACAAGTTTTCATGATGAGAATAAACCCTAACTGATGTAAAGACCGTAAAAGCATCTCATATAATTGATTTATTAGTAGTCTCGAGATCCTACTTACAAATGAAAAATAAGTAACGTAGTTGATTGTCATGGAAAATATAACTGTGATTCATCGACACTCTCACCAAAAATGTAATAGGGGAAAATGCCTGGCCATCATTGAAATTAACACTTGCCCTATGACCCGAGGGCATTCGTGACCATATGGCTTAGCGGTTAACGTTTCGAGATTATATGCTGTACTTTCGTGATTAGAGTCCAGCTAGGGGTGTTGATAAGACTTAGGCGAGGTCGAAACTGTAGTCCACCCTGGATTAGAGTACCTTTTGCGAAAGCAGGCTGATGTGAGATGTAATTGAAACGTCAGGTCTACTCATATCATTGTGGGAAAATTCAATTACTAGTCATTCAGCACCGTAAATGAAATAGGGTGAATACATCTGATTTAATTGACCACTCGAGGTCTCGAAATCCTACTTATCAACTTTTAGTCTACTGCATAAGCTGATCTAAAAAGCGAATAAAGAGACTGTAAGTCATTAAAGGTTTATCACAAAGCTTCATCATATTCGTGGCTGCCAAAGATAATCTAGAGAGCCTGCTAAAATTTATACCACACCTTTTTATTTAATGAGACATAAACTATCGTATAATGTATTGATTAGATACCTTGATACATTAATAACAATGCAAGAATTAGATTATGTCTTAAGCCCCAGACATGGTGAGAATATACCATAACGGATGTAAGGACCGTAAAACCAGTAAACGCCTTTTTTTATAGCTCAATCACTCTTTATAAATAAAAACGTACAGGGACTTCTCTTCAAAGAATTCGAATCTTGGTGAGGCCAGCTGCGAATTCCATTCCGCACCAAAAAGCCCAGGTAGGCGGGCTGGTTCAAGGCAGGCAACAACCGGTCCAGAGTCTAAATCGACTTTGAATAATTCCTGTTCGTCCAACTCTGACCCAACTCCACGCCTTCCCTCACCTCGATTAGCTCCTTCCAGGCCTTGAATGTAATCATTTCGTTCCCAATATTCTTGAGACACCGAACGATGATCAGCCGAGGCCTCGACATGTGGCTCACCCATTTGCCACCCGGTTTGGCTAGGCTTAGTGGAAAATAGGTCACTGCCATCGCTATCAGCAACCACAAAGTCTGTTCCCGTAGAGGATCGCGTTTCGGAGACTGAAGGGAATAACTCCATTGACGGAAAGTGTCCGTGAGGCTCAAATGTATTACAAGCAGAGAGAATAGGGCGAAATCCAGGAAGACTAGGATCTTTTACGGCTTTAGAGGTCACATTCTGAATGAAGAAGGAAATAGAAGAGGAAACTTAATAGTTATAAGTAAAATGGTGGATGACATAGGAGAAAAGGCAAGGCGCACGGCATTTTTGGCATAAATAGGCTTCAATAGCAACAGGGGAAAACTCGATTAAAAAATCCTTCATAATGTTACACATATTAAACAAAATCTATTCTATAGATAATGCAAACACCTGAATGCTGGAAAAGGAATTAGAAGGAACATTTGCCAAATTCGAGTATCGTCCGAATGGCAAAATCGTGAGTTCAAAGGAACATAGTAATAAATTAATAGAAATATGATATGTTTCATGCTATAGTGCACAAACTATATCTCTTTTAAATAAGTTCAGAAATTCAATAAATGAAGCCGAGCCATAAAGCTTATTAATACTGCATTGTAGAGTGGTGCTAATAATGGCAAGGCTCACTGACGATGCCGGCGAAACTTTTGGAAACGCACCAAGTCCACGGTCCGATTCTGGAAACTATCATGCATACAATGGATTCTGGACTAGATGCGTTCGTCTATGTTTTCCTGCCAATGCGACCAAGTTGCGAAAACAATGTCAAACTACTTTTGTAAATAAACTTGTAAATATTGCTTTAATCGACTTAAAGAATAAGAAACTCTGTGAAAGTTTGGGACGTAATCTATAATCTAAAAGGGACACAAGACACCTACAGAGGGGACATGAAATATAAATGTAGCTAAAAGAATAATAAAAAAAGTGTCAAACTGGGCAAGAATAATATTTGAGTCAAGATATATCAACGGTCAGACAGGGAGAGGATCTGGAGAATAAACACTTCCGCATAAGGAGTATCGGAAGGATCACACCAAAGCTCTTGGTAAAAGCAATTAATTTTTTGTGAAAAAGACTATTTAATTCTTAATGGTAAGATTTAAAGTGAGGCGAATTTCCTTTTATTTAGATAAGTTAGGTTTCCGAGACTATCAGAGCCCTTAATCAAGCATCCTTCGAGGCTTGTTATAGTGCTGATGACAAAAATAACGATGGAAGCACACCGATTCTAGCAAAAGTTGATGATTATTAAATACACTAGTCCTAAACTTTTATTGGTGTAGAACCCCATTACTATGGGCTCCAAGAAAAAAGCTTCATTAGCTCTGTTTTAAAAAATAAAAATGTTAAACTCTCATTGATAACATAAATTTAAGCTAAAAAGAGCATAGCAGTCTTAACAATAAAATACCGAAAAAATAGCTGTTATTCCCTCCTGGATTCTGCAAACATAGGAAGCATTCCCATTCGAAAATAATTACTGAAATTCCTTACTGCGCTTCTATCTAAATATATTGCAAACACATGTAGGGATAAAAATTAGTTCTTTAATAAGAACTGCATCAAGCCTAATTAATATGAATACAAATTCATCAAGTTCATAGGACTTAAGCCCGTATCAGGAAAGAATTCTTATTTCAAATATTCAAAAACTCTGGAGTATGACTGACAAAAATTAAAAAGGGATTTCGGGTTTGATAAATGAGAAAGGATAAGAAATTTCATAGATATGCTGCTAAACTACCGCATAAAATCGAACCCA